ACTACAGCGGCTCATGTACATGTATAATGATATTTGAAGTCATTTTCTGATATAGAATGTTGGTTCCAAATTGAAGAAAACCATACTTAATAAAAACAATATTTTATTGTTCTTATTACACAGGTAGAAAACATCAAAGATGTGATAAAAAGCCAAAAACAAACAATGGTGGCTATGACTACGACTGATCATTATGAATGACAAACTGTAAAAAAAATTGGTCAAATGCATTTTTCAGGACATACTTTCAATGATGTTTCTCTTTTAACTCACTTGTGAACAGTTGCTAAAGAAATAAAGATAGGCTTATGATCACTGTAGTATGACTCTAAGGTACCTGCAGATTGAATAAGCTGTGGTACATTTGTATAAATGTGATCTAAATGTGTACGGTAGTCAGTAGTGTACTGGTCAATCAACTGTGTGTATCCCCTGTCTGTTATCAGAGACTTTTTGAGAGCCTTTTGTTCTGCAGATACCTCCATTAGATTAACATTGAAATCTCCAAGCAGTATAGTGGGAATTGTAGGGTCTGTTAACACTGAGTTATGCAGATGAGTAAGAGCATCGAGAAACTGTGAAATTGGTACCTTAGTTTTAGAGCGGTAGACACCAATAACATGAATATTTGGAATTGGTTGGCTTAGAACCATAATGGTAATTTCAACATTATTAGTGTTGAATCTGCATGGTAAGTGAGTGCAGTTCAAATCATTCTTAACGTACACAGCTGTTCCATAACAAGTTCTGATATTGGAGAGATTGAAGTCATTTCTGTAAAGTGTAAATCCCCTGAGCTGATACACATCATCTCTATCTAACAAGCAAAGTTTTGTTTCAACGAAAATGTTGACATCAGCCTTTTGAATATTGTAATCACTTCGGACATCATGTATGTGGAGGTGGAGAGACCTGACATTTTGAAATATGATTGTTTTTGTTTTGGGTGAATCTGCAGTCTGTAATACTGCTAATGGCAGAAGACTTGCTTTTGTTCTCATTCTCCTCATTTCATCTTTAACTTTCTCACTAACCTTGATTTTGTTTTCATTCAAATTGAGAACATGTAGTGCAGAACTGTTTCTTACTCGGCTTAAACCAACATAATGCATATGCTCCCTTGTGGATGCTGGAAAATCAACAACTGCTTCATCTAATGAGTCACCTTGACAACGGTGAATAGTCTTTGCAGCAGCAGGTCTAAGAGGAAATTGCCGTCGAAGAACTTGCACTTGACTTTTTTTATTAATCCGGAATTGTCTTGTTACTTCTAAAACTGGTGTCCACTTTTTATTTAAGCTTCTCTTGTACAAATGTACATATTCTCTGCGCTGCTTTTTGCCTATTTCAGGATGTGGAAATGATACCCAAATAATACTTGGTCTGATGGAATTTTCTACTCTGTAGTCTATGTTCTCTATCATACACTCTGCACCATTAGTTAGTCCATCAGTCACATCAATATTAGTTGTCAAGTCATATTTTGCCATAGTTGCCAGAGACACAAGTGAATATAAACCCATTGTCTTTGTAGGATCCTCTGGGATTTTGTTTTTCATTTGTTGTTTCAGATCATCGGCAATATCCCCAACTACGATGTCCACAGCCTTTACCTGCGCTTTATCAGTTTTAGAGATAGTATATAGGGCATTGTTGTGAGCATCTACTGATGCATTTGTAGTAAATAAATGTGTCATGTTCATAGGATAATTATCTTCTTGAGGTGTGACTTTCAGAAGTCTCTGTTTTAAAATGGCTACATCATCTTCAGAATGTTTTCCCTCTCTCAAGCGATTGAGTAGCTCAGCGAATTCTCTGTCATCCTTTTGTCTCATTATTTCTGTCAATTCAAACAGGGTGAAATTCTCTGTCCAAATGTTACTTGCTAAAGCACTGTAGCCTATTGCAGAATTTTCAAAGATCCACTTATCAAAAACTGGTTTTAACTGGAAAAGATCACCAACAGTTATTAAACTAATTCCACCAAATAGTTCTTTTGTCCCCATTATTTGTTGCAGTCTTGCATTCAAGAAGTTAAACATGCCACTTCCTACCATGGATATCTCATCAATAAAAATTGTCTTAAGTTTCTTGAGTTGCGCCCTAATGGTATTTAGTCTGTCGCTGTCCAGTGCACAATACTCAAAACCTCTATTGGCAGGTATCTTAAAAGCAGAATGTAATGTATTGCCTTTAATATTAAAAGCTGCTTTACCAGTAGGAGCTGCTTTTACAACTTTCACATCATCTGGATTTTCCCCTGCAATACTATTCAGATATCTTATTAATGCTTCATATAATGCATTGGTGACTGTACTTTTGCCAACTCCAGCACCTCCACTTAAGAACAATCTAAGAGGGTCATCCCTAGTTTTTATTGAATGTAACACATGATAAAAAAATTGTCTCTGTTTTTCATTCAAAGAGCGGACAAGTGCAAAATAATTATCATCAGACATCCGCTTTATAACGAGTTCCTCCTCATCATTACTTCTAGGGAAGATTCCGATATCATCTAGCAAATCATACTGTTCATGGTCCTTGTTTTTTCTAGGATCAAAGCAAGCAAATAATTCACTAGGCTTCTCCTTGACAGCACAGTCCTGCTTACTGATATGCTCTGCATTTGGAGCAACAGTGTCAAAGTTGTCATATTCAGCATTATTCATATCTTCCATTGCTTTATCTAGTATTTCTGAATGGTATTCATGTTGACGCCTATTGCTGATAACTTTATCCTTAACCTGTTCAAATCGTTCTTGGTAAGTTTGACATTCTTTCATTAAATCAGTAGTTTCATTTCGCCATGGTGTATAAAGCATAAGCTGTTCTCGAAAATGGTTTTCTGGATCCTTATCTTTATTGTACCTAACAGATCGTATGATTTTAGGTTTCTTTCGTTTAACCAGTTTCATTCCTCCTTTAAGTTTGTATTCATGTGGCTCAAATTGACACTCAGTGACATTAATACTAATAGGGTCATCATCAGTATTGTCATCAAAGCTTGTTTCTGGTAAGAAGTCATCAAGACCTGTGACTGATGACCCATTTCCACTCCAATCAGCATGTTCATCTTTAACATAGTTATACCATGCAACAAAGTTAGCTAAACACAACTTTTCTAACTGTTTTGGTCTCCTTTGATAACGCTTAATTATGTTGTCAGATTCTATGTCAGGTGAACTGTCAGGCAATTCCTTGAGCTTATCCAGTTTCTTTAACAAAAATGTCCTGTCATCTGGAGGTGATGAGCTAATAAACTGAAAATCACGGGAAGATCTTCTCATGGGCATTTGTAAAACAAGATAAACAGCTTCTTGGGCACTGATTTCAACTGCATTTAAAAATTTGTTTCCAATGTGCCTCACTCTATTTGTAACATCTTTATTACCAGATTGGGCTTCTTCAGATGCCTTTTCTAGAAGCCTGCTCATACCTCTCTGTCCTTTTGTAATGTAAGAGAGTATGTATGTGGCACATGCATAGGGATCTAGTACATATTGAATGTCCATGTTTGCTTGCCAGGCTTTGAGTAAAACATTGTTATAATTGTTTATCCTTATTTCAGATGGTGCCCTTTTCAAACATAACGTTGCCCTCTTTAGGGTGTGTCTTATAGCTAAGATGTAACTTTCTTCAGTTAATTGTAAGTTGTTAAGAAAACCTTCAAATGTTATATCTTCACCATATTTCATGTTGTCAAGAACTTCTTTTATTCTTTCAGCATTTTCTTTTATATCTTTCTGGTTCTCTTCATCGTAGCAGGAATTCTCAAGAGGTGTTAAAATCATTGTCCTTGGCATTGGTGGTAATGGAAAGTTAAACCTGCATATCTTATGCGCCCCCTTCTTACATGTTTTGGCATGCCTGTGCAATTGCAAGTTTACAAGATCTTCCATTTCACTTGGACTATCTGGTTTACAGCAAGTGATGTACTTGTCAACAAAGTTCACGATTTCTTCATCAGAACTTTTTTCATATTGTGGGGCTTCCTTCACCCAAAATAAACCATGAATATGTGGGCTTCCTCTTTGTTGAAATTCAACTCTGTAAAAATAATCAGCTATTTCTCCTATTGGCATTACATTGCTCTTTAAAACATCGGAAATAAACAAGTGTACCATGTGGTCAAAGTTCCTTGCACAAGTGACAGGATCTTTTTGAATAAGATCTGATTTTTGTTCCCATGTCATTTGTTGGATTTCACCATCAGTATACTCTTTTTTCTCAACAATTCTACCTAAAGTTTTGAGAAGATGAGACCACCTTGTTTCAGCAGCTGAAAAAGAGCAAAACCATGTTGGGTTGCCTAGTTGACGAATCATAGCAAACAAGTCTTTTTTACATTTTTCATAATAAGGTGGTGACCCTCTAAGATTTTTTAGAACTCTGAAACCTTCATCGAGATGTACCAGCTTATTGAGATAATCCTCTGACTTCAATTCACCAGCAGTGTACTTCTTCCCTTTTGTCTTACATTTTCTGAGAGAAATACAAGCAGTATCTTGAATTTGTTTGATTTGCAGTTTTTTTAACTTATAGAAAATGTTTGGTACAGACATTGCAGCTCTTCTATCCTGGCATCTTAGCTCCCACTTGCAAATTGTACTGTATGATACAGGAACCTTTCTTTCATTGTTAGCAGGTCTCCGTTTTCCACAGAATATTGTGGGAAATGATAAATATTCAGAATCTTTGTCCATAAATATTCCTAATGGTCTATTCCCTTCCCCTGGGGCAAAAGAAATTATTCTGTCTACATTTTCTACTACATTTGGTTCCTGTAATAGTGTATCTGTAACCCCTGATGGGCGTTCATCAACTTCACACCAGTCATCACTATCTTCTTTTTCACAGCCTGGATTTTCATCATCTGCATTGGAAATACTCTTTTGAAAATCTTGTGTTTTATCCTCTGGAACAATTTCATCTGTTTGTGTATGTAAATCATTATTACTTGGAGTGTCAGAGTTTTCAACAAATTCACTCCAGTCTTCATAGGCACTAGATTGCAAACTTAAGTTATCTAACCAAGCATTTTGTACCTCTATGCCTTCTCTCTTGAATAAATCACTTGTGTCTACAAGATATTTTGCTGCATCTAATACTTTCTTAGGTCTAATATTCTGAAACTGGTAATGATGCTTATAGCTCAGACGCCTTTTAAGTTTTATTGGAATGGTTTGTGATTCATTGATGGTCCTTGGTAGACAGTGAACAGTTGAATTTACATCAGTTGGTACATTGACAATGTTTCCATGAATTGACAACTGGCCACCTCTTGGTAGCTCACGAATTTGCATAAACGGAATACGAGGTGATATAAGCCGTTCTTCCAATGGTGTTAAATTTAACAAGTCAGGTTTTTTAGGAAAACTCATTTTATTGGCTTTAGAGAGGCTGGGAAGGTTGCCTTTCTTTAGATTTGAGTCACAAGTTCTGCAAATCCATTCAGTATTTTCTACACTTCTCACCCCAGTGACACAAGACTCAACAAGATCTTGTGAACATGCCTTATACCTGTTAACATTACATTTCAATGCTGAAGACTTGTACCATAACTGGTCACAACAGGTACATATGTATTCTGGGCCACATTTAATGTTTTTGTGAAACAAATTTATCAAAGAAATAACACTGCTTTCATTTTTCTCTGTTTGTAACAACTGATCATTATTGGTTGATAAGTGTGATGACTTTTGAGCATTTTCAAGTTGATTATCATTGGCTGGTATAGTCATATTTGAATACTTTAATAGTTTGAATTTAGTGGTTCTCCTAACTTTAGCATTTCTGTTTACTTGCTCAATGTGTACTGGGTTATCTGCTTTCCGTTTCCTAAAACTCTGTTTATCAATTTCTTTTCTATGTTCTGGATTTTTGGCTTTCCGTTTCTTAAAACTCTGTTTATCAACTTCTTTTCTATGCTCTGGATTCTTTGCTTTCCGTTTCTTAAAACTCTGTTTATCAATTTCTCTTCTCTGTTCTGGGTTCTTTTCTTTACGTTTTCTGAAGGACTTTTTGTCAATTTCTCTGACCTGTTCTGGATTCTTAACCTTTTGTCTTCTAGATGACTTTTTTGCAATTTCCTTTATGTGATCTGGGTTCTCAGCTTTCCGTTTCCTTTTAGACTTTTTGTCAATTTCTCTTATGTGTTCTGGGTTGGTCATTTTTCTTTTTGTGACAGTTTGGTTCTTTTTTTCCCTAATTGTTTCAATATTGTTGTACCTTTGCACAGAATTTTGATTCTCTCTTTTTCTAAAATCTGCATTAGCTCTTCTCTTTTTCATGTATTCTTTCATGTAACCTCGATCAGCTCTGCGTTTTTCCTTTTTATCAATTGTTTTTCTTTCATCTACACTTTGATCACGTGTTTTGTTGTTTGGTACCCCACAATTTCTCTTTTCTACTGTAGAAACGTAATGAGTTTCACTTATGTGTCCGATGTAAATGTTTGTGCGTTCTCCTGTCACATTCACTGCTTGAACAACGGTAACAGGAGCAAAAGTTTCAAATGATTCGGCAATATGAATTGACAAATTTAGACAATTGGCCACTGCTTGAATTATAATTGCATCAGCCCATGTTCCCTGACATGACATATTGTTCAAATAGTCTTGCCAAGAATGATCAGTGTTACTCTCTATGAACTGTTCAGGGTTCTGCAGTAAATACTGGACACCAAGGCTACGTATATGAGAATGGTTATTAGGATTGCCATAAAGTTGATGTGAAACAGCTCGAAAGAAGCAATCACCACCTCCTCCAACATCAACTGCCGTTCTATTTAATTCAGACAACCTAGTTTCCAATAATGAAACTGAATTGGTAATTGAGGAGCGATGTGCCACTAAATTACAAGTAGTGGTCGCACTGCATTGATTTGATGGCCCTGGATTCTCTTCAACATCACCACTTAGAGAGATGACTCTGTGAGATACACAATAAGTTTTGACCCGACAGCATTTTAATTTCTTTAATGTTCTCCCGTCAACACACATACAAAATAAGGGCGACTTCTTGTGCTTTAATGTTCTCAGTCGCACAACACATAGGTAAACATTTTGGCTGAGGGAGAACTTTTTTGATGGTAATAAAAATTTAGATCTGACTAACCGTTCACTGAAATAACAACAATTACGTGCAGACAGAAAAAGTTTTAGTTTAGATGAACTTGGAATGCTTCTTTTAAGGTATGACTTCACTGCATTTCGAAAAACTTTTGTTTTTTTGAGCAGTTTGATGATTCTCCTATATGGAATTCTGGAAGGTTCTCTTTCACGTTTCCTTCTACAATGCAACCTCCATGAACTTGTACAAACGTCAACCGTGGTCCTTGACATTCTGCTCTTGATAAATTCATGACTTAGTGAAACACGATATTCAAGTGAATTATCAGTTGGCACTTTCACCAGAGGTTCCTGGTCGTTAAATTTGGTTTTCTCCTTGGTATGATGATCAGTTACCGCTGAGGTGTTGCACTCGCATGTCTGGTTGGCAGATCTGGAGAATTGATCAAATTTGGCATTTACCTGCTCATATTTGGCTTTGATTTGCTCGTATTTGGCTTTGATTTGCTCGTATTTGGCTTTGATTTGCTCGTATTCGGCTTTGATTTGCTCGTATTCGGCTATGATTTGTGTGTACTCTGCTTTGATTTGCTCATATTTGGCTTTGATTTGTTTGTATTTGGCTTGCTCGCTTTCCATAGTTATGGCGTAACTCCAGCGAGCGGGGAGATCGACGTATTGTATAAACGCCCGGTACTGGCTAGACGTCGGTTTTACAGATTTTGTTGTCCCTGAATATACCCGGGACTGATTACAAGCATCTCCACTCATTAACGCGTCCATTGCGTAGTAGCCCTCCATATAATTTATAAAACGGCGAACGCAAACATTCCTACCCAATTTGTCAGGTGACTTTACGAGCACTTTCCGAGGACAAGCGAAGTACGGTCGATCTATTAATTGCATTTTCTTTAGAACAAAAAGATGAGCCATGATAGAGGATATCCATAAAAAAAAACCTTTTATCGTTTAAGCTACAAACTGTAAGTGCTTACCTGGGCAATGGCACGAAGGCTCTTTTCTAACACAATGAAGGACTCCAGTACAGAAACATTCACCAAGCCATTCGCGAACTCAAACTTTACGAACCAGTTTCCAACGTCGATGCAGCTCCAGGAATAGCAAACACAGCCACCTTAAAGGACTCACTAAACGAGCAGTGGGCCGTGGGCGACACTTCATAACATCGGTCTCGGCGAGCAGCTCAACTTCGCCAACACTCGAGTCTTTTGAGCCCGCGGTGGCATTAACCAAAAGTTCAGCGCGTTTTAACACTACTTAATAAATAACATATTTTCCATCGGTTTTAGAAGCGTGCGTGGATGGCCTTCAGGTACTGCGGAGTACCTACTAGTGTAAATTGAAACGCTAAGGAAGGTGGAACAAATCTGCCGCCTGCAAGATATTTTTCGTTTTTCTTAATTTCCTTCCTTTTTTTTTTTTCCTTTCTCGGGCACACTAATAATTTCCTGCATACGGTATACATTCAAAAAGTAGAAGCATTGACGCCATAAATGAAATATACGCTGCAACAGACAAAAGTATATTCGGAGATCCGGCAAACTTAATTCACGGATGAAAAACGTATAGTTTTAAACTCTTTTACGATTATCATTAGCTTCTTTTTCACCCACCACTATTCTTTGTAACAAAGGTCGCCATNTGACCAATTTTTTTTACAGTTTGTCATTCATAATGATCAGTCGTAGTCATAGCCACCATTGTTTGTTTTTCGCTTTTTATCACATCTTTGATGTTTTCTACCTGTGTAATAAGAACAATAAAATATTGTTTTTATTAAGTA